GCTCTTCCGATCTTGTATTGATTGGTCAGATTATTGTCCAAAATATATAATTGTGATAATAACATCTATCCTTGATAGTTGATAGTACATGATAGTAGTGATTGATTGGTTAAATGATTGGTTAAATATGATAGATTTAGGTATAATAGTTGTTAATTTGTAAAGTTAGAACTGTATTGTTGTTTTTGGATTGATGATTGATAAAACATGCTTGTTGTTTTGATGTTTATTAATAGAATAAGGTCATGTGATTGAACAGATTTTCATTTTTGGTGTTATTTACATTAATCTTTAGCAGGTATGATGGATGTGTTTGAATATTTGGTAATATGTAATTGGTTAAAGGTAGGATATTAATCAATTGCTAGGGACAAACTGATTGCGATTTTTTGAAAAAAATTTTTTGAGCAAGAATTTTTGATTTTTTGTGATGTCGTAAAATGTATTGAGCGATGGTAAAAATTGTTTTTTGTATATACTAATGGTTCCCCAAGCCAGTGATATAAACAAGGTTGATATAAAAGTTTATGTTTTGAAATAAAATAAAGTTCTCCAAGTCAAGAACATGAATATTTAAAAGTGTTTGTATATTAATAAGAGATGTTTTCATAAAAAATGTAAATAAGAAAAACCCCAAAGAAAACTTATAAAGAAGCAATTGCCACAAGCCTTTTCTCATGCAATTTAAGAGAGAAGCAAGTATAAAATAATTTTTTTTTATTAAATTATAAAATAATATTAAAAATAATAATTTAATTTAATTTAAAAAATAATTATGTGATATAATAATAATAATTTATTTAATTTAATATAATTTAAAATAATTATATATAGTTAAAAAATTTATTATTTTAAATAAATTTATAATAATAATAAATTATAAGTAATGATAAATAATTTTAGAAAACTCTTTCCCATTTCCCTCAAGTTTTTGAAAACTTTCCTTTTTAGGAAACTTTAATGAAACAAGTTTGGAGACCTTGTCAAGTTATTTTTTCCTCTAAAAAAGAAACTTTTTCTTTTCTTTTATTACTATTGAGAATAAAAATTCTCTTCTAAAAAAGCCAACTGGTTGTTTCCTTTCACTATAATCTAAGAAATTTAGGCTGAGTAGAGCCAGGTATTACAGGTGGAAGGTTAAATCCTGGATTTATTGGATGAAAGACCAGCCCCACTTCTTCAAAACAAAGAGTTATCTCTATCAATATCAATACAATAAGCCTTATATATCCTAAAGATCTATTACATATGAGTCAATTTTAAGAGTTTGGTTGTAAAGACTCAAGCTGCATAAGAATGGGACTCTTGGTCAAATTTCTCAAAACTGGGAATCTTGTGAATGAAGGTTGCATAGAAAAAGGCCTTTGATTTAACATCTTTTTCACTTATATATATAGAAACACCTTGGTTTTTTTTTTCTTTTCATAACAAAAAACTGAAATCAGCTTACCCTTATCAAAAGATCAACATTATATTCTAATTAATCACAACTCATCAAAATTGCACCATTGATTACCACAATGATATCAACAATAACAACAACAACAATACTACTACCAACAGTCTAATACGTGTTAACATCAAATAGATAACTTTGAAGAGAACAATGATGTGGATACTAACATATGTGTGCTAGACATGACAATGCTGATGGCTTACCGAATATGTAGAAGTTATATCCTGCTTGACAGTTTTTGTCACTAGATTTGGCAGCTTAAGTCAACTGAATCCTTTGAAATATCTACTAGAAGATTTTGGAGTTATGTCTCACTTGGCCTTTGAAGCTCCTAGATTTGGTAGTCTGTACCAATCAAAAATTACAGTTTCAGAGCATTTATTAGAAAGTACATACTCACGTCAGCTCTCTCTGTCTCCATAGTTGCGTAAGTCGAAGTTGTGATGTAAAAAGTTATTTATATAATATTAATATGTGTCTAATTTCTTTTTTCATCTTTCACTAAAATTGCATGATCTATCGTGCAACTATCTAGACAGTATATTAGTTTTAAATTGTCTTTTCTAATATAGTTTAGATAGATATTTTTGTAAACTAGTATTTAACTTATGTATTATGAGAGATGTGGGTTCTTTTTTAAAGTTATATCTTAGTATATACATATAATAAAAAACTGATATTTATCAAAAAAAAAAAAATTATAAGTAATGATTTTTAACTTTAAATTTTATAAATAAAAAAGTTATAATATTTATTTTTTAAGATTATATTTAAAAATATCAATTTAAGACAAGTATTTAAATTTATAAAATAATTTATATAAAATAATATACAGTATGTATTTTACTTTATAAATATTGAATTTTTATTTAATTATAAAAAAAAATAAGTTTAATAAATTTATAATTAATTAATATTTTAAAATAAATTTTTTTATTTGATATATTTATAAAATTAATAATCTTTTAATATTTTATATTAATAATAAATCAACTAAAATTTTTAAAATTTATATTTTTTGTTACTATTATATATTCATTAATTAATTTTAAAAACCAAAAAATTTTTTAATTCAATTTATATACTGTATATAATTTTTTTATAAATCATTTATTAATTAACTTAATAAAATAGTTTATACAAAGTTTTTTATAAATTATTTTTTTTATAAATAAATATTGTATTTATACTATATTATAAAATATTATAAAATATATAAATATATATTTTTTAAAAAAAAATAAAAAAAATAATTTTATCAAAGTTCTATATACAATATACATGTTTATACAGTTTGCAATTTAAATTTTATAATAATAGGTTTTTGTAAATTGTTAATATTATTAAATATTTTATACATTGAATGAATAGAATAATTTAATAAATAAGTATATATAATATATTATTTGTATATATGATATATGATAATTTTACCAATTATTCTACTGTAATTCGTTCTGTTTTTATATTCTCTGCAAAAAAAAAAACAATAATAATAGAAGTAACAGAATTATTATTACTGAAAATATTTTTATTGAAATTCTTACAAATAATAAAAAAAAACTTGAGGATTTTAAATTGCAAATTATTATGAATATTGTAATTTAAAACCTTAATATTGATTTATAAGAATATTACTTTAATTTCTATTTGTAAAGTATGACATGCTGAAGAGACATAGGTTAAGTAAATAAATAACGAATGGTTTGTTTATTTGTAGCACAAAGAAGAATTCTACCATAAAATTGTTTTATAAAAAATAAATATTTTTGATAAAAAAAAAAAACATATACAGTATATTACATGATACTTGATATGATAATATTGAAGTTAAATAATTTTATCCTCGTGCGTTTCTAAAAATTACGAGGAATGTGTCTAAACAAGAGATTGTGCGCAATTGTCACTTCTTTTAAATTCACTAGAATTAATTACCAAACGTCACGTATATAAATTTCGTATCTTTTTGTCAAAATTTCAACACCACTTTCTTTTATAGTATCTATGTACTGTTTTTGTGCATCCCTCCATATAATATTACGTGGCGAATTTGTAAAGGACAGGGTTTTCAGGGTTTTCATCATGGGCACAATGACAGCAAGTACTTTAAGATAAAGATCAATATGCTTGCTATTAAACCGCAAGACCAAAGATCTCAATGGTGCTTCGCAACTGTCCATAAAATTCGATAATTCGGTTGCAGTAGGATTAAAAAAGTCCATGCTCAACTCTGTAATGGTTGGTGGTAGGTTCATCCTCAAATCCCGCATAAAGGTATTAGAATAACTGATTGAACTCTCAAAAAAGATCAAACGTTCAAGTTTCAATTTTTTAATCCAAAAAAAGAAAATCGGAGGAATTTCAAAATTGACGGAAACTCCAAGGTGAACAATGTCTTGAATATATTGTGATGCTGCTACCATAGTTTCTAAAGTGATAACATCTAATATTAATCTCTTTAAGGTGTGCCCAGTCTTCTTTATAATTTCGGCCACAGTGTCCGGCTTTAAGTTATTTTTCATCAAGCTCAGTTCTTTAAGATTACGAAAAATTGAAGACAAAATATGATCACCATTTACGGTAAAAATGCAATCGCAAATATCTAATGATTCTAAACACTCTAAATACGTGAGTGCCTCCAATGAACCAATGGTCGAACTGAAGAACACTAATTGAGTCAAGGAATTCTTGTGGACTTTCAATGACGGAATGACACTATGAGTGCTTCCCATATAACTCAATGACTTGATACTACGCTGAGATTTGATGATGTCGCTGAATAATCCATTGTCCACTCCCGAATCAACATCATAAATTCCTAGTTCTTGGATATTTGAGCAAACTGAGGGTATGCTTTTTAAGAAATTTAACGGGCCCTCAATCTCTCTAGAACCATTCAGTCCACCATTTGTGCACAAAGTAAGAACTTGAAGGTTTGACAGACTAGGTTTAACATTTAATGTCATCGAACCCTCGGGAAAGTCAAACTCAACATCTGACCATTCAGAGATATCATAAAAGAAAGACTTGAAATTATGGCATCTTGATAAAAACATTATCCAGAGTGCACGTGAGATTTGTTTAATCCTTAAATCTTTCCGATCGACGCGATGAGTTGACGTTAGCTTTAGCCAATCATGAACTGCTCCTTCAAGAACAACATTATTGCAGGATTCCATGTACTTCTCATATTGAAGGAATGGGTGCTGGTTGACATCGGATAGATTGATGTTAAAAGGAATTAAACTCGCCTTCTCCTCTTCATTTAAGCATGAAAGGTAAGTCCTAATTAGTAAATCTTTTCGTTTTGCTTTAAATAAAGCTCGAGACCATAATTTCGGAATTACGCTTTTGCACATGAAATGATTAACATAAAGACAATTATATAAAGTGTCAATGTCAGTTATATGTTGCGCTAAGTGGTATAGACAATCATCGACAAGGTAAGGTACATTCATGTTTGAAGTCCGAAGAGAAGAGGTAAGTACATCGACATGGTTAGAAAATGAACCAATTTATGCGTATGTCATCAGGTCGTGTAACATTTATTGTAAAAAAGGTGATGTGGAATTTTTCTAAATACGGTGAAGAATTTTCTATTATATTTGCCGAGGCTCTAAGAAAATCGGATTGCAATCAGCGTCCTTCTTACACTTTTAGAGAGCTTTTGAAATCTCACGCCATCCCGAAAAAATCCTCTTCTTTGATGTTGATGAAAACCACCTCAATTAATCCGAAACTACTCGTCTTATTATCCCGATTCTTTCTTACACACACTATACTTTCATTCCATCCACTCCGGTTACTACACTGATACTCCTGTTCTTTGCCTAGCTTTAGCTTTAAAATCTTCAATAAGTCTAGAGTAACAAAGCTATCAATGTGTACGCCTAGCGGATTTATGATTCGCCAAGCTACTCGGAAGGTTGGAAATAATCTTGGTAATTCTTCAAAATCAAATCTTATCATTTTCGATTTATCATCGAAGGTAATAGTTTTCGGGCGAAATTTCTTAAACAACTCCCATTTATGGTAATGCGATGTCCAAACCTTTAAATTAAACGAGTATGTACAACATTAACAACATCTTCCAAGAAAGTAATGTATGTAACTGTGCCAAAAATAAATACTTTGATACACCATCCTCTTGTTCCATCTTTTGAAATTTCCTCTTTCGCTACCACTGGAACCAATCGATTCCATTGTTTGCATACCGATCTCAATTGAAAGAGATTTTTATATTTATTGCAATACCTTCGAAAAAAAGAACTTGAGCCGTGGATTGCACGAACCGGAGAAACAAGATGGATAACTCCTGGCACATTACCTAGATCTTTCCATCACATTACGAAATATTTCGATAACGAGCTCGTTAGGAAGTTTTGATGCCATAAGGAATTCGCGATATTTTCCCGAGTGAAGAAAGAGTGATAAACCAGGATTTGAAATAAACGAACTGATACAATGCCAGACTATTTGATTATGTAATATTATTAATATAATGAAGTCGTTATAAAAATGTATTAGCAAATAATTGCCTCCCATTCTGAGATTATTTTTCGTGTGGCGAAAAAATTCCAAAATTACACGGTAATATTTTTATCATAAATTTTCCAAAAGCTTTCAGTCAACATAAAGCTTTATTTACAGTAATACTTAAAACAACTCACGTCATGTTACCTATTTCCTACGAAAAAAAATGCACTCAATAATAAAAATTAGCAATCACATCTTCATACAATGATGCCGGAGGCGTCAAGGGTAGTAGGTCCAACAGCTTGAGCAAGATGTTTCTCGCACCATTCTACCTCCAGATATACCTGATCCAAAAAAAATAATTTAAAGTTTAAATTAATTTACTATTAAAGAGTAGTACTCATATATAATTTTTTTAAATATCTAACAGAATTTAATATCATTAAAAAATTCTTATTTTAATAATAATAGCATTTTCAAATTTATTAAAGAATGTCGATTTTGATTTTCAAAAAATTATTTAGAATCAGCAATTAGGGATAGAATTATCATTAGAAACTTGATTCAAATTTTTTAATAATAATTTTATCAATATTGAATGCTTTTTATGGAATAACAAGTATTTAAAAGTTTTTATTTTTATAATATACAGTATATAATATAACAATCATTATTATTTAAATTAAATCAATTATTCAAGTTGAATTAAGTAATATTATATATACAATCTTTATTGTAATAATACATTTTGATTTAATAAACAAATAACTTTAGCTTGACATTAATTCAAATTATGATCAATTTAATTTATGCCATTTGACATTTAAAAAATTTGTAAAAATTTGTAAATAATTATATGAATTTGACAAATTTTTTTTAATTTATATAAAAAATTTAACATAACAATTATTAATCAATTTTTTATTATCAATAATTTAATATAATGATTTAATAAAATTATAACATCAATAATTATTTGATTGTTACATAAGTTATTTAAAAATAATCTAATATTATGTAATTTAATAAATTTATAAATTTATAATTTATAAAACTTTGATTTTTTATTATCAAAAAAATTTATTATTATTTTAAAAATAAAAGTAATTATTAGCTTTGTTTATTATATTTAATTATTTGTTATAATAATTTTATAATTATTAAGTTAATATTGTTAATTTATTAAACAAATCTTAAAATTAAATAGATCAACAATTAATAAAAATAAAAACTTACCAAACTTAAAGAAAAATAGCTTCAATTGTAATATATTTGTATTAATAGAATAAAAAAATTTAATAAGATTTCTTTACAAAACAAAAAATATAATAATTTAATTTTTAATTTTTAAAAATAGTTTTTATTAAGAATTGAATAAAAGTTAAAAAATTTCTTAAACAATTAAAAAAAATAACTGTTCTATTTATATATATTTAAAATATAAAAAATAAAAATAAACAATAAACAGAATATATTAGTTTTATTAAATATATCTTATATATTTAATTAAGTTATTTTAATTAATTTAATTAATTTGATATATCAGTTATAGTATATTCAATAGAAATATTATATTTATATAATATATTATATATAAGAATTATTTAAAAATATAATTAATAAAATAAAATAATATTATTATTTAAATAGTATTTCTTTTTTTATTTTATTAAAAATTTTAATTATATCTAATACAGTTATATTTATATATTTAATAAATATTATAATAAAAAGTTTTTGATCTATAAATACATGTATTGTAGCATTGTAGGTTTTAAATTATTAAGTTATAAAAATAAAGCTATTGTTATTAGAATTATTTATATTGAGGCTATAATTGTTAGATATATAATTGTTAACCTGCAGCTTTAATCTTATAATTATTATAATTGTTAAAAACTAACTGTATTATAGATCTACAATATATATATAGATACAAATTAAGCATGAAATTAAATAAAAATTGAAGAATACAATTGAATGCAATCAAGCTATATATTAAAAAATTTTTTGTTAATTTTTTTTTGCTGCTTGTCATCTTGCTTTTGACAAAATACAGATGTAAGCAACATATAACTAATATATCCAGCTATATTGATACCTATAACATTTATCATTTTTATTAATTTTATTAATTTTATCAATTTTATATATCTACTTTTTCATTTAGTTATCGATTTTTGCTATTGTTTGTCACTTGCTATTTGTTATTTGCTATTTTACTGTTGACAAGATATAAAGGTAAATAACATATAATTGGTATACCTAGCTATATTAATACTTATAAAATTTGTCAATTTTATTAATTTTATTAATTTTTGACTTTATTATTTGTTTCTATTTAGTTATCAACTATTTTTTTTTTCTGTTTGTCATTTTTTTGTCAACAAAATACAGAGGTAAGCAATATGTAACATATATATTCAACTATATAGACACCTGAAATATTTATTGATTTTATTAATTTTATTAATTTTTTATATTTATTTTTTATCTAATTTGAATTTTTGATATATTTACTTGTAAGTAAGTATTAATTAAATATGAAACATTATCAATGTCTACTGTACAAATATTAATACTTGCAAAAAAATATATATAGAAATATGGAACAGGTTTTCAAAAGTCATAAAGCTATCAGAAATAGTCAATCTCTTGTTGTAAAGAGTAAATAAAGAAAGAAACAACATTAACTAGCTACCTATATTCTGTATTGATAATTGCTATGTGTCTTCAATAAGAAACCCTGAACTAGTGCACTATATACTGAAATTAAATTGACCCTAATGTACTTGAACTTATGAAAAACATAATTGTCAATATATTTGTTTTATAAAGACAAGTTATTCAATTGTCTGAAATAAAAAAACTAAATCAAGATGCTTTAATAGTAACAGGATATATTATGTTTAAATAGGTTTATTTCAATTTTTTAAATTTTATTAATATATAAATATTTGCAGGTATCTTTCGACAAAAAAAAGTAGAAGTTTTACACATATCCATAACATACTTGTTGAATTGTAAGGATCTGAAAAACAATATTTGTAAAAAGAAAATGTAACAATAAACAGCTTTCTTTTTAACTATGTTATAAATATATTTCCCAAGGATGTAACTTCAAGTATCCAAAAAAAAATCAAAGAATTTGACCTTCTTCAATTAAATGACAACCAATATGGTATTGTTGATAAAAAAATTATAATTTTTTGCAATGGCAAAAAAAATTTTTTAAATTATCCTTTAGGTCTTTGTAAGGCCTATATAGTTTGAAGATATAGTAAGTTTGCACATACTAATATTAATTTTTTAGAATATGTAATTGCAGCAACTTGTTTAAGAAAAATACAACCTTGGTGAATTTGATTGTTAGAAAGGAGATTTTTATGATGACAATTTTTATTTAGCCAAATGGAAAATTAAAGTAAAAATAACAAGTATTTTTAAAAAAAATATGAAATTTTTAATATTTTTTTTAGAAAATACTCTTTACTGTTAATTAGAGAATAAATTACATGGTACTACAGTCTTGCCAATAGAAAGTATAACTTGTGGGCTGTTACAAAATTTAACCAAAAAAACAGTAACAGTTATAAAAAAATGGAGGGAAGGAAAAAAAAAATATTGTGTGAATTAGGGTTCCAAAAAAGTATCAAACTGATATCAAACTAGTATCAAAATGGTACTGATCTATAGTAAATTTAATATATGGGTTGTAACTATACATGTTGCTGAAATTTATAGATCTTTGACGCAATTGACGCAATTATTTGACACAATTAATTGAGTCACTATTAAAACATATAAATAATTGAGTCATAACAATTATTTTTGAGGATTTTGGGAATTGAGTCAACAACAAAATAATTTACGCCACATGTATAGTTAGGAACAAGCTACAGCAAATGTCATTATTTGGAACAATCCTGATAAATGTTGGGTATACTTGACAACCGATACGTTATAGCATATTCTAGATAGTAATGTCGAAAAATATATGTAAACATCGTTATTAAATAAATACTAAGCCAGACAATTATTGCTGGTACACTTTAAAAAAAAAATATTAAAGATTATATTAAAAAAAATTATCATATTTTAATCAATTACTTATAAGAAAATACTTTATATAACATTTTATCTGCTTTTCACAACAAATGATACTCTTGGATCAAAGATTCAAAAAAATATTGTATATAGCAAGAATAAATACACAATATTTATTACTTAAAGTGAATACAAAAGTTTCAGAAAAAATTGACTTTGTGATTAAAGTTATTCGATATATTTCTTCACTATTTAATTGAAAAAGTAAATGATAGCATTCAGATATTTCTACAGACTTTTTTCACATTATAATAGCAGTTGATAAAGCATTGATTTTTAAAAATAGTAATTGTTTTAAACTAAAGACTTACCACATTGCTGTTTATTACTTTATAATGTTGCATTACAGTAATTTTTCATTTTTGTCAAAAGCTTTTATTTAATTAAGTTCAAATTATTTTATTTATATTTATTATGCTATACCATTTATTATAAAATAAATTTGTAAACTAAAAAAAAAAACTCTTTCCCACTCCCCTTTCTATGTTTGAAAATTTCCTTTTTAGGAAATTTTTGAGTTGTTTACTTTTCCTTCGTCTTCCCTTTCTCCTTCTCTTTATGCCCCTCCCCATACCTCTTTATTTTTCTTCTTCTATCTTCTTCCCTTTTTTCTATATACTCTTTTTTTTGTTTTCATCCCTTTCTTCCTTTTTCACCTTTTTTTCCTGCCAAAGCTAGGTTTTTCACTTTTCTCTGAAGATTTTCTTTCCTAGGTCTTTCTCTCTTTTGAAAACTCCATCTCCATAACATTACTTCTCTGGCCAATTGATTCCCTTTTCTTAAGTACCATATTAAGAAGCAGTAATCTT